TGTGTGTGTGTGTGTGTGTGTGTGTGTGTGTGTGTGTGTGTGTGTGTGTGTGTGTGTGTGTGTGTGTTTGTGACTTATGACTGGTTTCGTGCTCCAGGGTCACATTTGTTCTTCACTCACTGAAATTGAATCCGAATGATCAGAGAACTGAGTGAAATACGTCACACAGCAGAATAAACGCTAATACAGTTTTTTTTTTTTAAACGTTGCTGTGTTAGTGAACATCGTTCAGCATGTTTGGTTTTGACGGACATTTTTAATGCACGAACTACACATTCTGTTGCTGATTTTTCAATAATTTGACAGATGTTTCGATTCATATTTTCAGTATTAGTTCAAGTTTAACAGAAGGCTGTTTTTCATCTGAACTATTCCATTAGTTGAGTCTCTCTCCTGCAGCAGAAGAGTAAGCTTTTCTTCTCATTGGGTAAAGCGATGGCCTTTTATCCGGTCAGATCTCTCGACAGTGACAGGGTTCATGCATTATTCTCTTACAAGCGCACAGAGGTAAAAATCTCCCATCAGCCCTGGGTTTCTCCCGGTACGTCTCACACCTCGACCCCAGGGCTGCGTCTCAGGACCGCTTCTGTTCCCACGCTTCACTCCTGTCTGTCTGTCTCTCATGTCAAGCTCAGAATGAAGATGATGAATTATGTATCACTGCAGCTCTCAGAGAATCCTGATGCTGAAGTCCAGCTCATAAACCCATCCTGAAGTCCTTTATGAAATCAGTCTGATGCCCTGCATTCGTTAAAGCTGTTACTGCCTCACATTTAAAGATGCAACACGTTTAATGATGGAGTGACAGAGAGAGGGAACGCCTCAGGCAGCACAGACGAAACCTCAGGCACTGAAGAACCTGAGAGACACTGAGACATCTATCTGAAGCTGCAAATATATTTATATAAATTGCACATCTGAATAGATAATGTCCACATATTATATATGACTATATAAGTAACTTAATTTAATTATATAAATGTAAATAATGAACAGTTTTCAAAGAAACGACTACTTTTATTCAGCAAGGCTGCATTAAACTGATCAAAAGTGACAGTAAAGACATTTATAATGTTACAAAAGATTTCTGTTTCAAATAAACGCATATTATACTGATTTCTGAAGATCATGTGACACTGAAGACTGGAGTAATGATGCTGAAAATACAGCTGCGCATCACAGAAATAAATTACAGTTTAACACAGATTCACATAGAAAACAGTTATTATACATTGTAATAATATTTCCCAATTTTTACTGTATTTTTGATTAAATAAATGTAGCCTTGCTGAGCAGAAGAGACTTCTTTTAAAAATATTTTTAAAATTACCAATCCAAACTTGTGAACTTATAACAGGTAGTGTTTAGATTTAAAAAATGTTAAAATAAATTAAAATCATAAGTCTCAACACATCTAAGATGAATAGTTCATATATTAAAACATTTAAAATACAGTAGATAAAATGTTGAAAATAAATTGTCTAAAATATAATTATACATCTTTAAAATGCTTTGCCGATTTTGTCTATAAAACAGTTGTGGTAATAAAGCCCTTATTAAAGATATTTGAAGAGAGTGTGATGGATGTGTTAGTATGCAGAGAAACACGCTGGGCCCTCGTGCATGTGTGTGTGTGTGTGTGTGTGTGTGTATAAGTGTGCTTTAATTGAGACACGGAGGAGAGCAGCATGCAATGCTCTAATAAACAGTTAATTATGCAACTCCCCACACCACACCAGCAGATTGAATCTGCATCAGAGACCTCACACACACACACACACACACACACACACCCATCAGCTTTAACCCGTGAGCGCATCTCTGCCGCCACTGCCAGCCCTCGGCAGGCCAGATTAGATGAATGACAAACGCACTTCTGTTAATCCATTTATTTAATATGCCACTCGTGTGCCGCACATCACAGCCAGACCTGATTAATCGCTCAGGAGACGTGAAGGCCGGCTCAACACACACACACACACACACACACACACACTCACTCTCTCTCACACTCACTCACACACACACACACACACACACACACACTCACTCACACTCACACACACA